ATTTTCGCGCTTTTCATGTGTTTTTGAATCACTTGTAAAACGCTTTTCGCATCGAATTTCGAGTCCTTCGCGATTCTCACGTGATATCCGGCGCCAAACACTCGCTTCAAGAACATCGGACTTCCGCAACACTTCACGAGCCCTGAACTCATTATCGCGATTCTGTCGCCCAATTGCTAACAAACAAAACAACTCAATCAATACAAGCGAACGCACGTCACGTGACACTCACGTCCGCCTCTTCCATGTAATGAGTGGTCAACAGAATAGTTCTCTCCGAACGGATGTTCTGCAGAACGTCCCAAATATGGCGTCTGGCCTCGGGATCCATTCCGCTCGTCGGCTCGTCCAGAATGAGGATCTGCGAGTTGGCCACCATTGCCACTCCCAGACACAGCTTCCGCTTCATTCCGCCCGACAGTTGTGCGGCCAACGCGTCCCTCTTGTCGGCCAACGAAATCACTTCCATCGTTGCCGTCACTTCTCGCTCCACGTCTTCCATCGCGTGGTCTTTGAGAACGGCGTAGAGTTTCAAGTGTTCAAACACCGAGAGCTCGTTGTAAACAATGTTGTCCTGAAAACACGATTAGTTTGCATTCAAATAATCGTTCGCAACAAACCTGTGGACACAAAGCCATACTTCTTCGCGCGCTCTTCGTCTCCGTCCGGATGTTGTAGCCGTCGATGAAAGCGCTGCCGTGAGTGGGCGGGAATATGCCGGTAATCATGTTCATTGTGGTCGTCTTTCCCGCGCCGTTGTGTCCCAAGAGAACAGTGATCTGTCCTCTCATTATGTTCAGCGACACGTCATTTACGGCCACTTTTTTGTTGAACACTTTCCGCAAATGATTGCAACGAATTCCCACTTTTCCCGTTTGCGGCTCTTTTTCAAAGTGTTTCGGGTCTTCGTTCGCGTCTTTCCATTCCTCTTCCGAAGAGCTCTTATTCGGGAACCAATAAGAGGCGAGAAAAGGGTAATAAACGGGTTTCGGAATTCCGAACTGAAACGGCCACACGTTGTCCACATACCAGATGAGGAACGCTGAAACACGTGATTATTATTTTGTTATTAATAATAACTTATTATTTACCGTAAAAGAAAATGGACGCGAATTGCATGGTCATCACGAAACCGACACTCAAATGTCCGAAATTGGGAACTTCTTGCCACAGAGTGTCCCATTGGACTCCGTAGCCATTTGACTCGCATTTGTTCATCAGCGCGAAGATCCAGGCCATCGCCGAGTTGGGCAGCAGACACGTGATCACTCGCCACGGATGCGTGGCGTCGATGTCGATGTTGGGGTTGAACGTGGGGTCCAAGAGGTTCATGGGAACCGATTGCGAGAGCATGAAGAGCAGCACAGAGACCACGACCGCAATGATGGGCCGATTGAAGACTGTGGTCA